GGGGCCCGGCAGAGACTTGACTGGGTGGTTGGCAAGGGTGTCCGTGATTCGGTCGGTTCTCCTGCGTCGCGGTATTATTCTTGCGGTTGGTTCGGTTCGGGCGGTTGTTGTGTCGTTGCTGCGTCGCTGCGGTCGGCGTTCGGTCACGGCGTCGCCGCGGGCGGCTATCCTGGCCCTGCCAGTGGCTGCCAGTCAGAGGGCGCGGTGTTGGCCTGGGTGACCCTGGAGGGGGGGGGCGCGATTGGCGCGCTCTGTTTGCCGGGCCCGGTGAACGACGCGCGCCTGACCTCTCCTCCCCTGCTCGCATCGGCCCGCCCCTTTCCCAGGACGTCGCGGCCTTTGCTTGGGCGTTTTCGCCGTGCGCGCGCTTGCTATTCCCGCGGGCGCGCCCCGCCCGCGCTTGCCAGAAGTTTGCGCGACCTTGCGGAGGTGGAACCATTGCAAGCTCTGTTCCAAACTGATCGCGGCTCAAGGCTCGAGTCTCAAGCCGAACCAGGAGCGCCAGACAGTTTTGCATCCTCTCACGTCCTCTCACAATTTCTTACACGTCTTGCTGCGGTCCACGCCGATCATGGTTCATGCGCGCCCCTCTGTCCAGCAAGCGCTCGCGAGCTCTCTCGCGTCTGATCCGGCCGAGCCTGAGACAGAGAAGCTGCGCGAGCAGGAGGGCGCATGCAGCTCAGCGCGCAAGAACTTGGTCGATATCCTGACCCGGGTGATCGATGACCGGACGGGCAAGCAGGCGGATAACATCGACTGGGCGGCCAGCGCCGTGGCGCACGCCGCAGACAGGCAGTTTTCGGACATGCGCAAGGGGCTCGATGCCGAGAGGAATGCCAGGAAGGCGTTGGAGGCGGAGGCGAGGGGGCGAGGCGTGCATCGGCATCGTCGTTGAGACGCAGACTATGTCATGGGGATCTTCTGCTCAGGAGCTTCTCGGGGGCTCGCTGGATGAGCTGGCCGAGAAGGTCAAATCAATGCGTCGTCAATAGGAGGGCCCCAGCAACGCCGATATCTACATGCGTATTTTCTTGGAATACGCAGAAGAAGGGAAAGCGACGGATCGGGAATATTACAAGTGATATGAATTCTAGGGTTCACACACATCTTTTTGTGCCGCTCCAGGAGATCCCCAGTTGGGCCAGGGGTGCATTCGCGCAGTTTCGATGTACGCGAATGGCATGGCGCTGTCTGGGGCGCGCGCACTTGCGATCGCGGAGCCATGGCCCCAAGGGCGCCCAGTCGCATGGCCCGCCTGGGACAGGGGGGTGAATCATGGATTGGCGTCCTCATTGGTTCCCTCGTCTTGTTATCTTGCCATTCCATAACCGCGATGCAATAGACGGCCTGGAGGCAGGGGTGAGAAGTGATCGAGGGGGCGGTCAAATTCGCGCAGGAGTGTCGTCAGCGTGATTCACCCAACATTGTTAGCATCGCTGCTGGTTTTGACGGTGGCGTTACCTTGCCGGGCAATATCTCCGACCTTGCGGAGCCCTCTGTGCCACCTCCCATTCGATCTAATTCTTCCAGCACGCAGAACGCAATGCGTTTGCGGACGGCGGCGCCGGGGACCGGCGCCGTGAACGCCTTCGGCGAGGCATCTAGCACCGCGGCATTGGACGCGCGGCGCGAAGAGACTTCTCGAAGCCCGTTCCCAGATCGGTTGCATCTGAGCATCGCCGGACATATGCGGCCACGCCGCACCTCGGCAATATTTTCTGGCCCCTTTCCAGACCAACGTGAACCGCAGCCGTTGAGCGCGCGCATTTCTTGGCATTGCTTGAGGACTGGGCTCGAGGATGCGAAATCATCTCATAAAGGTTGGGCTCCATCCAATCAGGTGCAGCGCGACGTCTTCGTCGACGAGTGCATCGACCAGGAGGTTTTGGCCTCGCCCCTGACTTCCCTGGGGCCCAAGATGTTGAGGATTGCGGCGTCGGTTCAGCTCGCTACGAGCAGGTCTGGCATGCCAAGATAGGCAGCAACTGACATCTTGAACGGCGCTTCAAATTTACGTCGACAGGGACACGCAACTTCACATTCCTCGTAAGTTACAGGGCCTCTGCCGTGGACCCTCACGGGTGACATTTTCACCCGCTTGCATGGACATTGGTGGGGATTTGACTCTTGACCGGGAACAGCGGTTAGCTGGAGCCAGATGTGGAAGGGTCGGTACCAGGATGATCGAAATGACACGAACTCTGATAATCATTGTTTGCAATGTCTGTATGTTCAGCGCGTCGATCGCAGGGTTGGCGCCCCGTGGACGTTGAATATGTCGACGTCCTCCACGCCAGAGCTGCTCTTCGATCGGGGGCCGCAACTGGCCCTGATGGCATTCTGTCAGACGCGTGCAAACTGATCCCGGAGATCCCCGCATTGCACGTTTAGAGTTTCTCCCGAGGCGGGGCGAACCTCCGAGATGCAGGACAGCCCCCTTCCGGGAAAATGTTGGTGTTTTCGGCATCCCGGAATCCACATTTGCCCGTGGGTTTTTGAACTACAGAGGTGGTGCATTCGATGTCTCCAGCCAGCGTTCCCACGTCAAATCCAGCCATCGCGCGCGCACGCGGTTCCAAGCGTCGCCGCAAGACGACCGACATAATGCGCGCGATCAGGCAGCCTTTGCACTTCGGGGGCTTTAAGTGCACATCGCGGCTCAAGATATCGAAACAGCATGCGGTGATATGATCCGCGAGCATTTGTCCGTTGTTCTGGTTGGCAGGAGAACTAGTCATGCCATGGCCGCCCTTCGCCTGAATGAGATGTCTCGTCTGCAAGCGCTTCTTTTCTCTACCTGGAGCAGGGTCTACATAGCTGCTCCCATGGTGCAAAGGCGGGGGGCAGGGAGGAGTGGAGACACCAAGCGAGTGGGACATGCTCCTCGAATTATTACATGCCCCTGTTGTGCGCACGTGGAGTCGATTGGAATTCGGAGTGCGCCTCGACGACGGCATCATCAGTAGACGGGCAGCTTTGGCGGACAACATCATCCTTTTCTCGTCGTCGCACGCCCGACTCCAGACCATGGTAGTGCAGGTTGCTGACGCGATCATACACATCTGTCATCGTTGGAAACCGTCGCCCGCTCGAACGCACGCGCTCCGAAGGCGCGACGGATCCAGGAACGCCTCTTCAGATCGGACGACGGGGCAAGCCTTGCATCGCAGGGAGTTGCCGCGCATGTTAGCACTTGGTGAGTCCTTGATAGACGACGGGGGCACTTGCACATCCATGGATTATCGCCTTGGCCAGGCCGACGCTGTGCATTTTGAGCACTCCCGGTGATTGCGTTCACGCGGCAATCTTGGAGGTCGAATCTAAGCTTTGCGAACGACAGTCGCATCCTCGGCTATCTCTGGCGCTTGCACGCGGCGCGCGTCGCAGCGCAGTTTGGGCCGCGCCCGAACGCGCGAATTGCAGCTGGCACGTCGCGCGTCGAGACTTCGGCCGAAACCGAGCGACAACAACATGCAGTGCGACGTTCGCTGCGCCTCCAAAGTGCACGATTGCTCCCAGATATTCAATGTGCCTCTTGTTCATCACCAGGCGTTGCGTTCATTTCCGGCCGCAGCTTGGGGCGAGAATCGCCCGATGATGGGTTTGGGCGACGCGCCGCTGCAGTGGGCGAGGGGGCGCGTTCCTGCCGGCGCGCGTTTGCTGGCCCAATCGGTGTCTTCAGGAAAACGTCGCGGGGTAGGGCCGGTGCGTTCCGCGCCGGGTCGGGCGACCCCGCCGCAGGGGGCCCCGCGCGTTCTGTTCTGGGGTGAAAATAGGAGGGCCTACAGGGGTGCGTTTCCAGGTGGAACTGAGTTCGTGGACAACATGTGAAAAGGATGGCATTTATTTCTGCTTCCAACTTCGCTTGGCGGGCTACGCTCGCTACCCCTTGGAAAAGCGCACAGGGTGAGGCCCATTGATTTCTGAACGTGCCATGTCCCGTATTGCGCCCCGACGCCACTGGCGAGATGGGCTCCGGCGGGTGCGACTTGTCGCTGGTTGCCGGACGATTGCCGACCTCCTCAAAGGCGACGCGATACACCAGCCGGATGACCTCAGCTTGTGATGTGTTCCAGTCGGGCGTCAATTGGCAGAGGTGCGCGCGAATGGGTTCAGGGCTTGCGCTCATGTCTCAGCACCTGCACGATAGCGGGAACGGCAACGCAACGTCGCAGCGGGCCATTTCGCGAACATGGCACTCGATACTGAGCAGGACGCCGACCGCGACAGCGCGCCTGCGCAACAACTTTGCCCAGGCGCCCTTTTCCAGGTGCAGACAGACAGCGGCTGGCGCGCAGGCAACGGCGCAGTGGGCTGGATATTGTATGGGGTTGTCCGGACCAGCCACGGCAAGAGCGCAGCCCTGGTTGAAGTAGTTTTCGGTTCAACTTTCTGGAGGCACGCAGCGTCCTCTTCTCAGACAGAGGCGATTGCCCTGGAGACTGCTCTCTCCCAGTTTATACGCATGTGGTTTTCCTCCATGGGCTGGCATTAAAACCACCTTGTTTCAGATGCGTTGTGCGTGTTGCCGGGGATGGTGATGTGATGGGTTGCTATGGCGAAACCGTCCCTGAAGAAATAACGGAAGACACGGGTTCGTCATGTCCCCCGAGAAAGAGGCACGCACGGTTCGCAGAAACGATATCGGGTCAACGGGTTATCCATGCGCGTAGGTAGGGATTCTTCTTGGTGTCCCAGGGCCAAGCATCAGAGAAATCTTCCTTCCGCGAGTGCAGGTGGTACGACGGTCGAGGACCATCTCAGTTCTGGACGGGTGCCATCTTCGTGTTTGGGTTATCTTCGCGGAGCCCGTGGCCTTCGGCGAGAGGGCTCGTGTATTTGATGTGCGTTTTCGTGGCTACGTTTCGAGTGCGTTTCAGCAAGGCAGCCCTTCCAGACACCCCAGACAGGCTTGCCAGGCAGTTTTGCTCGCCGTCTTCTGCAGCGTTCTCACGGAGGGCCGCGGCAGGACGACAGTTCGCGGTTGGGTCGGGGCCGAGGTCGAGGTCTCCAAGATGAGCGGCGACGCCAAGCCTGGCGACTCGACTGGCGGCGAGCACCCCGTACGCGGGCTCCGTGCGGGGGGGAGGAGATGGAGGGAGTACATGGGTATGAGGCAGAGGTTGCAGGAAAATGATGAAGAGGAGGGAGGAGGAATACGTATATTACACCAGAGAGAACCCCAATCGGTGGATTGCCCGATTTGCTTGCAGGCGCTCCACGCCCGCCCCCCGGCTGATATATATATATATATATATATATATATATATATGTTTCTCTCTCTCTCTCTCTTTCTCTCTCTTTCTCTCTCTTTCTCTCCCTTTTTCCCTCTCTGTCTCTCTCCCTCTCTCTCTTGCTCGTTCTCGGTCTCTTTCTCCAGCCAGTTTACTTTAGATGCCCTCACGGCTCGCTTTGTATTGGATTGCCCTCTCTCTCTATATATATGTATATATATATCTAAATATCTATATATATATATATATATATATATATATAGATATGCATAAACATATGTATGCACGCACATGTATATATGATTGAAAGACTGGAGAGGAGGTCCCGGGGGGCCCGGAGTTCATTGATTCGGTACCCGGCCGTTTTGGAACTGTCGGGAGGCGCCAAAACGCGTCAACGGAGGGGAAGAGGGGCGACGAGAAGGCTCGAGAGAGGTCCAAGAGCGCGCCAAGATGGCCCAAAAGCGCTTCAAGAGAGCCCAAGACCGCCAAAGAGCGTTCCAATGTTGGTCAAACATAGCTTGACGACAGACCACGAGGGCCTCGACACGGCCTTCCCTCAAAAGGACTCCCACGAGGCCCTCAGGAGGCGAAATAGATAGTTTTTGTTGCGCGAAGGTTTTTGAAGATTTTTCGTGCTTCCGACGAGGCTTATAAATCAGGCTTAGAAGTCAGCTCAACACGGCCCAAGAGGCACCCAAAGTGGGCGCCAGGACGGCGCAAGCAAGTCCCATGACGGCCCAAGAGCGCCCCAAGACGGACCAAGAGGCGCCCAAGATCGCTCAAGAGGGGCCCAAGACGGGAACACAAACGGACAATTCGAGCCTTCCGCCCCAAGAGGCCTCATGCCCCAAGAGGCCCCCAAGATAGTCAAAGAGGCCCCAAAAGAGGACCAAAGGATGCCTCAAGAGAATCCCAAACACCAGAACTGCCTTCAAGAGGCACCCGGGAGGCTTCCTACGAATTCCAAACGATTTTCCAAGAGGCCTCTAACCCACAACCCAGGCAAGGTGGCGGGATGGGCCGAAGGCCACTAAATGGTCCAAGACGCCCAAGATGGCTTCCAGACGGCCCAAGAGGCCCCCAAGATACCCAAGAGGCTTCCAAGAGGTCTCTCAACAGAGCTCGAAGATGCCAACACACATGAATGTCCCATGGGCTTTTGAATCATTTTTGCGTTTCCGCCTGTTCCGCTTCCCGACGCTGCAAAACGCCCCAAAAGGCCCCGAGGATCGCCCCAAGACGGCCCAATAGAAAAGCGCCCCAAGATGGCCCAATAGGCTTCAAAAGCTCCGACGAGACGTCCACGACGGCCCGAGAGGGCCCCAACCGCGGCCCAGGATCGGGAACGTGAACCGAAAACCCGAGATCTTCGCCCCAGGAGACCCCCAGGAGGCTTCAAGAGGTCCCCAAGAAGTCCCTAAGAGGCCCAGAAGAGCCTCGAGAGAGGCCCCGAGGGCACTTGGACAACATGGGAATTCCAACATTTCTTTTTGTAAGTCCGCCTGGCAGCTTCGCTACGCTTGCAAAGAAAGGACAGATCATAGTTCCTCCTCCCCCTCCTCGGGTTCCTTCTTTGCGGCCTCCTCCGCTCTCTCCAACTCCCCCTGATCCTTCTTCTCCTTCTTCCCCGGGGCACCCCTTCACCTCCCCTTCTCCTCCCTCTTCAACAGCTGCGTCCAGCCGCGGCGAAGAACAGAGACCCCGAAGTGCTTTTTGGGCCTGTCGTAAGCCGTCGTGGGTGTACCGTAGGAAGTCTTGGAAGCCACTTGGGCCGTCCTCGTGTTTCTTGGAAGCCCTGGAGGAGAAGTGTCATGGAATAGGCATCTCCAAGAGTTCGACCATCCAGCCTAGCTAGAACTTGAGCACACGCGAAGCGCGCGCGATGGTTCAAGTTTGCATGTGTATATGTACAAGATTGCAGTGGCGCTTCGCGCCATGAACCTTGGTCTTTCGATTTTCGCACGCGGGCGGCGTTCGCGCGCGTGCACATGCGCGAGCGAATATGTCCATAAATGTCATGCGCGCGCACGTGCATGCGCGCCATACATACATACATACATTACATACATACATTACATACATACATACATACATACATACATACATACATACATACATACATACATACATACATACATACATACATACATACATACATACATACATAGATATGTGCATATATGTATACATGCACACGAATATTTGTATATATATATATATATACTGTGGGTATGTGTGTACACGCACGTCCATAACAATGTATGCATATATACACACACATATATATATATATATATATATATGTACACATACGTATGCGTGTATGTAAATACACATATATGTATATATGCATGTTCGCGCACACATGTTTCATGTTTATGTGGGCATATCTGCGTGTACACACGCATGCCTATAGACATGTACGCGGCCGTTGCCACAGCGGGGGGGCCAGAAACGTAGCGAAGGGCTCGCGGGTGCCGAAAGACTTGGGTAGGAGACGGCATCGAGTACATGGCAGAATGTGGAGCGGCGACTTGGGCTTACCAATGACCGTGTTTTTGGGACTATGGAAGGAGCCGTGTGAGGCCCTTGCCTTGGGGGGGCTCGGGACCGTGTCGCAGCGGGGCTCAATTATCTCGACGCTGAAGTTGTTCTTGGGAGGCCTCGCGTTCAGAGTGTTAACGTCACGTAAGCCTTCTGAGAGCCTCCTGAAGCCTTCTGAGAGCCTCTGTGGGACGTGGTGCAGTCCCGTTATGGCTTGGGCCAGTCTTTGGGCGCGTATTGGCTCTCTTGGGCTGCCTAGGGGTCATGTTCCGGCTCCTGGCCCGTTTTGGGTATACCTTGGGGGTTTTTGCGGGCGTTTTGGAATTTCTGTAGGGTTCTTGCGGGACCTTTTGGGACTATTGGGGATGGCCTTTTGGGGCCTTTTTGGAGGTCAGTCGGGCCATCTTAGGGCGATCTTGGGGGCCTCGTGGGCCGTCTTGGAGCGTCGGGACGCCGAAAAGGGGAGAACTCAAACATCCCCCACAAACCAAGAAACAGTCAACGAATTTTGCCTCGTGGGGTCCTCTTCAGAGTGCTCTTGGAGGCCTCTTGGGACGTGTCGGAGCGATCTGGAATTTCTGTGGGGTTCTCGCGGGATCTTTTGGCACTCTTGGGGACCTTTTGAGGCTCGGGCCATTTTAGGGTGATCTTGCGGGCTTCGTGGGTCGTCTTGGAACGTCGGGAAGCCGACAAGGGGAATCCTCCACAAAACCAGAACCAATCAATAAATGTTGCTTCTTGGGGCCCTCTTGACAGTGCTCTTGGAGGCCTCTTTGGACGTTTTGGAACGATCTTTGGGGAGACGGCTTCTTTGGGGTCATCGTCGACCGTCTTGGGGCTCTCTGGGTTGATTCCAGAGTGCGCCGCAACGTCGGGGGCCCTATGGGGTCGTCTTCGGGCTTTCGTGAGGTCCTCCCAGGTCGTCTGGGGGGCTGCCCGAAAGGCCGAACTCACGAATGGACAAGCCATCCCCTGCAAAGGCGCGTGGGCAAATGGCCTGGAAAAGGGGGACCAGAAATGTCAGCACATCCCCGCAAATCCGCTATCCCATTTTGTGGGATTGTTCATCCCCGAAGATCTGCATCTACGACGGCCTCCAGGAGTCTAACATATCATGCGTACTGCTGAGTGCCTCCTGCCGGGGCGTCAGGGCGCGAAAAAACGAGGAAGTATGCTACATGTGGTCCCTTGCCCCTTCAGGGCATGCAATGGCGCATGCCGCTGTTCTCCATAGCGTTGGGTCTCTCAATTTCTGCATCAGCTGCTCGTCGCCACCGAAATGTGAATATGATAGGCTGTATAAGGACTTGGCCCATTCCTGTTTTGGCCTACCTCGTCTTCTCGGATAAGCATCCGTTGCTGGCCAGACGCCGCCAGGCTGAAAAGTCAGCTGTCGTAGGAAATCAGGATCCGGAGCACGACCTAGTTTGCCGAAGAAGAGGAGCTGCTGATGTAGAGGTTGTGCGCTGTATTGTAGTTGTCCAGCTTGCTCCAGGACGCTGCTGTTGGGTATTCGTGACACGAAAGACGGAGGCATGTGTAATATCCTATGTTCGCGCACCGCGCTTGAAATCCGTCGAGCCGTCTTTCTTCTGACTTGTTCAACCAAGCTGTGTTCAGAGGGTACGTCAATTTTGATGTCACCAACGCCTAGAATAATTCCAGCTTCCGCCGTGTTCTGATCGATGTATGCTTCCATGACCTGTCATATCTTGCAAACTCCATCCACGCAGATCCAATTCGTCGATTCAGTTCTGTGTTAACCCGACCGCTGTTGTACAATGTAGTTCCCAAGTACGTCAGGCATTCGTTTTCCGCGATTTGTTGTCCTGCTGGCGTTCGCAATTCCACGCTGCAAAAGATTCGGACCATCTCAAATTTGTTCCAGTGCAGCTCCATTCCCACATCGGCTCCCGCTGCAGCAGTACACTCCAGAAGATGTTGCAGGCTTTCTTGGTGCCTCCCAATGTGCAAAGTGTCGTCGGCGTGCCACAGCAGTTGTAGGTTCCTGGCACACATGTCGGATCGTTATTTGTTTGTGAGCTTGCTGGCAGCATCCCGCACCACAATTGTCATCAACGCAGAGGGCATCCTCGAGAAATGCCGGACGATTCCGCTCGCTCGGATGTTTTTGTCGCCCCATCCGCCACGCAAAACCGCCGTCTATTGTAGATATTGCCAATCAGTGTAAGCATTTTTGGTGGCACCCCGAAGCGGCGCAAAGCAGCCAGCAGGGCATCGACGTTGATCGAATCGAATGTTTCGTTCAGTTCAGGGCTACGAGAGTCGC